CAACAATTTTTTACCATGAAAAGATGCACCAAAGGCCATGCGTCGACCTTCCTGTATGTCTGCAATATCTGTCCAGGTGTTTTCTGTTGTGTCATATCTTCTGGCTTCAGTAAGAATCGCACCTTTATCAAACCCACCAACTGTATAGATATCCTTGTCCAAAACTACAACACAAGCTTCTTCTTTCCCACGCCACTGGCAGGATGGAACGGGTTGCCAAGACATTGAAGCAGTGCTGTACTTAAACAAAACTAAGTCATTTCTACTTAGAACGAGGTAGATGTCTCCTCTAACAACCACTGCATGGCAGAAGTTGTAGAAGCTCTCACCTGCTGGTGTAAATGGACAGGATACCGGAGACCAGGAGTTTACAAGTGAATCATATCGTTCATACGCTTTATATGAAAAATTGTAGATTTTGCCTTGACAAGATATCATTTCTAAAGCCGGGGATACAGTATCAGGAAGCTGAAACCACTTATCTTTCTGCGGGAGATAAAGCAGTGTCTGGTTTTTCTCGAATGCTACAATACCATCTACCTCTTCAAGTGTCCTCCTGGGTGTTTGTGGCCAAGGAAGATCACTGTGAATAGCTTGAACGACAAAATTTAATGAACTTCTCAACTGGTGCAGACAGGGGTCATCTTCTAGGTCTCTCACTAGCTGGTTTGTCACGACATCATTGAACAAATAGTCACGCGTCACAAAAATCAACCGAACGTGACGAAATAGACTGGCGAAATGAATTTTGCGTCCATTTCTGTCTTGCTCGATCCATTTGATGATGATCTCGAAAACATCTTCCTCGGAGTTTAAAACTATCTCATCGCTTGATATCCACTTCTCTACTTGTTGGCTTGATAAATTGAGGAACTCGTTTTCTTTGTTACGGCCACAAAATTCACGTGAATGAATTCTAAAGCCTTAGCGGCTAGATCTTTACAAAGGTAGTTTTCCGCAAAATAATAAGTTGATACGCAGTTCGAGGCTGACAATCTCTCCTCTAGAAATTTCCCAGCGAATGTTTTAAGGAGTCGCTGAGGAGTGGAAGACACAAATAATCGGCAGCCATTACTAAGTCTTCTGCCTTCCCAGCAGCGGTTGTCTGAACGCTACCAGTGTAACTAAACTGCAGGATATCTTCCATTTAGGTTTCTGTCAGCATGTCGAGTCGAACTACCCCTTGCTTGCTTTCCATCATGTCGCTACTCAGAAGCTTTTGAAAGAAGACACTTGCCTCCGAAAGAACGCTCCTGTGCACCTTGAACTCCTTTCCACCGCTTGCAACCAAGGTAAAATCACTTGGTTGATCTTCCCTTCGTTGCACATCGCGTCCTGGTGGATCCTTTATTCGATAAATTTCCATACCTACTTCCCAATAAGCTGAAGATTTCACTGAAACTGAAAGATGGGTAGACTGTGGCAAAAAATTGCATGACTCAGTGACGTCGGGCCCACTATCTGACCCAGGCCTCTAGCTTCCATGTCAAGAATTTCTAATTGACGTCAGTTTTTTCATGCGTCCGTCCTGTTACCGCCATTTTTGCACCAAAACTGATAAAGTTGTTTTTCCATTTGCTACGTCAGAATGCCGTTGATATCCAAAACCGACTGTTGTGCGAATAGATCTATCCTAGCTCTACCATCTGGTTAGTGGCGGATCTAGGGGAGGGGCCCGCCCCACCCCCACCCTATTTTGGGTGAAGAAAAAAATCATAGAAGGAAGAAAAGCCGCCAGGACAAGCAAACCTCTCCCCCTTACTTCAAGGTCTGGATCGGCCACTGCTGCTTACCAAGAATAATCTCGTGACATTTAAATTGAGACGTCACAAGTAGTACAAAGAGCACGAAATTAAGTACGCGTATATGCGTGACCAGGATGAAAATGGCTAAAGATCTGTAGTTGC